CACACAGAGATCAGGGCGGAAGATTTCACTGTGGATTAGAGAGGCATATGGGAATAGTTGTATTCAAATCTCAGTAAATTTAAATGGTTCACCACAAGTTACTAATATGGTTTTTTTAAGCCTCTACAGAAGCAATTTTAATGTTGGTGGAATATGTCAGGCTGGCATCCCTGAAGTCCTCTGCATCTCTTCGGGTGCATCTAAGTTGTGGGGTGCTCACTCCTCCATGGTGCACTGTCAGTCTGCCTTGACCTGGCTTAAGGAGACCCTTCTCCAGAGAGCAGAAAGGGAACATCCCTCCCGCCCCAGCCCCCCCAGCCCACTCCGAGGCTATACTTGCAACACAAACATGGCTATTTGCTGCGAGAGACCCCAAAATTCACCTCTCATGGGCCACCAGGCAGTCTCTAAAGGGTAACAATTTTCAAGCAAGTGCAATCTGAGCTCTAATTTGAATTGGCAGCCCCCTTCCTCTTTGAGGCTACGTAGGATCCCACCAGGTTTGGGGTTTGCTTGGGATTCCGGTGAACACGGCGTGTGGTGCTGATGGGTCAGGCCCTGCAATACTGGGCTGTTTGACACAAAGTAAACGCCATGGCTGTTGGAAATTACATGTCAAGCACGCCCTCCTGAAAACATGGCACCTCCCTGTGACTCAGAGGCAGGTAGCACTTTGTTTGGTGTTAGCTTCCAACCCCAACCCGGCTTTCTCCATCGACTGCTGCGAAAGGCATTGCCATTAATACATTTCGTTCACGGGGCGAGCTTGGGAAATCAAAGCAGAGGGGACAGCAAGTGTATTCAAAGGGCATTTGTTGTAAGAAACAGAAAAAATCTTATTAAATTATTACTTGGCACGGATACTCAGCTGGAATCTCTGCAGATTTCAGATTGCAACTCAACTAGTAACCTGGAGGTGAAAGACTGTAATAGTCCATTAACAATGCAGTGACCTATCCACCCTCCCCCAAGTCTAATGACATTTTTCTAGTCCTCTGCAATCCATAAAATTGATTCTTTTTATAACTGCCTTTAATTAAAAGGAGACAAGTTAAATATGTATTGTATTATTGGTGCCCATAGGTTTATGGGGCTCTTTCGGCCCTTTTTTCTACAGAAGATGTCATGTACATCAGATCAGAGTGGGAGGGAAAAATTCATGCCGTAACATCCCTTTGGAATATGCAGCCTCCCCTCACTCCTCCACTGATGGCACATTGGGGTCCGAGCCACATGGTTTAAATTTCCTGAAAAAAAAGATTACTGGGATATGGGGATTTTAATGTAGCTTGTCGGGCTGGGGGTGTATTCCCCTTGTCCTGATGGGGAGAGGGAGAGCTGGGATGCAAGCAGCATCGAATTGATGGAGGAGACTTGTTAGAACATTCTTCCCTCCCCTGCAAGACGACTCCCTCCAACACCAGTTTTAAATGTTCTTTTTATTGAGATTTCCAGCCTGCCCCAAGGGAGCCGGTCGCTTTTCTAGGTGAGGATGCTTTTTCTTCAGCACTCAGTCTGAGCAGCAATCTTAGTTTTGTTCTTCCTGGAAATCTTATTGCTCCTCCAGCTCCCATCACGACCCACCTCCCCTTAGCACTGACACACTTCAGCATTAAACAAAACGGCCCCGCATGCCCCTCCTTACCTGCGGCTCCCACATGGATTTTAGCTGTTTTTCCCTCCACATGCAGCCTGTTGATCAGTGCAGCTCTTCCTCCCATGCCATGCAAGAGCCAGAATTCACTACCCAGTTTATTGAGGAGCACAGGGCTACTCAACCCCAGCTGCTTTGCATGAGCAGCAGTGATAGTCCTG